GCGGCGATGTTGGTCGACTGCTTCTCGGGGGTGTTAGTGAGGCTGCGACGAGCAGACGCCGGCGTGCCGGCCCTGCGTAGCGGGGACAGGGGGGTCTCCGTTGCGCCGGGCATCCCGACTCCAAATTTGTTGCCTGGTGTAAATCGTGTGAGCGGAGGCGAAAGCAGCTTGAAAATGCCATAGTTGATGTAGCCAAATCTGCACGTGGGAAGTAATAAGGAACAGTTTTTTTTTCAAATGCACAAAAGCCTGAACATAGAATTGTAGACGAATTTTTTTCGAAACAGTTTTTATTTTTATTTTTGAGGATTTCCTGCAGAAATTAACTTAGTGATTCTATAGCATTTCAATTATCAAGAAATGGACTAATAGGAAAAACATCATGAAAATGAAATAAGGAAGGACCGATTTTCTTTTTCTCCGCAAAACTGTTACAATGAATCCTTATAGAAAATTTCATTTTGAAATTTGATCAGAGGTTTAAACACTCAGTATGAAGGTAGATTATCTGTCAGCTAGAGAATTTACAAACTTCAAACAAATTGTAATCGACTAGGTAATCGCAGAAAATAAGGACGAGCCGGGAAAATTATGTAAAATGATCATTGTACAACGACAAATGATCTAGTGATAAAGAAGTTCAAATTTCACTGCGCGAAGAATACTAGATTTTTAAGACCTTATTTGAAGGAGACTTTAGCACCCTAGGTGGTCGAACGGAAAATTGAACGTTTTGACTCTACTATTTCACTTCATTGACTCTACTATGGCTAATATTAGGGAATGAAGTCACAATGACAACATTTGTTTCAAGTGGAAATTAGTCATAAACATGAAGAGTTTCTTAATTTTTGTGAACAAAATATCTGTAATTCAGCCGAGGGGAAAATTTATATCGAACGGAGAAAGAGATATACCTCTCCAAAAATAGCACAGCCAAGTAGGCAAGGCGTTCCAGATTTAAACGGGATGTTTGCGTTGACCAGGGAGACCAGCTGGCCGGCGGAGAAAATGAACGGGTTCCGTTACTCGGAGCAGTTGATCCCACGGACACCGTTGAGGCCGACTTCGACAGGAGAGGCGCAGTCAGACCAGCCTCATACATAACACGTATATCATCAGTGTTCAGGCTAGTTACCAGGAAGCCGACAAGTCGGTCAGACGTGACCTGGGTAGTCGGGTCCTCGACCCACAGCAAACACTAGAACGGGAATGCCGAAAGTGAGCGTATTCTCACAAGAATGCTCAAAATATTTGTGCCATAACACCGAGAGATATTTCTCGAGAAATTAAAACAAAATTACAACATACCGCGGAATTTCGAGCAATTAAGAAAGCTTCCCGAAGAGGGCGACTAGCTGTCTGAAGAAAGGGAAAGAGTGCAAATTCTTCAGTTGTGATTTGTTTTGCAGAGAGACGACAGTCCTCCGCGGCTCTCTCGGCCGGAAGGGTAGACGACCTAGTCCCTCCTGGTGCCAGCGCCTCGTCCTCGGTATCACTGCTTTCACTTTCAGCTTCGTCAACATCAATTTCACCCTCAGTAAGGCGCCTACAAGGAGGACGTACTTCTTCCTCGGTTTCATCCTCCGCGGCGGACGCTGTAGTTATTTTTTCCTCTTCCGTCTTTGGCGTTTCTTCCGTTGTTCTGGTCTGGTCGTCTATATCTTCCATTGGATCACTACTTGATTCAACGTTGGAAGTTTGGTTACTCCCTTTTAACTAAAAGCAGGGTTTTCAACAAAAGGGCCGATATTAGTGTTGTATACTATGATAAAGTTGGTTAGTCAATGAGCGACATTAAAATCCTAACAATCAAATATTTTTTGGAATACGTGTTCCAGACTTTGAGGTAATTTGAAATACGCTGTTTTACAGACCCTCGGAACATCGCTCCTCGGCTTTTTTGAAAAGCTCAAACCGAAGTGATCATTCAAAATCTGTCGCAATCTCCGGTACATGCATCAAGTTTTTGAAAGAGATGAACTAACATTTTCTGGGAAATAAAAGTATTAATACACACCAAATTATCAATTTCTAATGAGGAATAAAACGTAAGTGCTAAAGAGAGATTAGTATGTGCGAAAGAACTGGGACGACTCTGAGAAAGGATGCTGAGCGACTCTATTTGAGTGGTCTGCTATCAGGTCTAACTGACTTAAAGCATAAAAATACTCATTGCGAAAAAACAAAAACATCAATTTGTGCAAATGAGATTTTTAAAGAAAGCTTCGGTCATTTATATGGTAACCAACTCTGACGAAGGATAGATTACTATTTTTTATGCCAACTCCACCATATTTTCGAAAATACTTAGAATCACACCAGTTGATTAGCTGGAATGCGATTCTTACAAAATAACTCCACAGGAAAAATGTTGACACAAACTGAAAAAATAACAAGAGACGCACTCACTTTAGCATCTCCCATCTGGTTTGTTCTTGGCTCTGTATTAGAAGAATGGAAAGTTCCAGGTCTTCGTCCACGTTTAGACTTCCCTCGCGGCATTATCTCGGAGACCAGAAGGCAATGGCGAGGATTAAAAGACCTTGAGGTAGTTGTAAAATTGAAATCGCGGAAAGAGTGTAAAAAAGTAAAACAACGTTAATAAGCATAAAGCTGCGAATCGTTTTTTCAATCAAATATTATCTGAACAAAGACTGTTCCATCCTCAATTATTAACTTTAAGTTGTGTTTCCTAATGTGTACGCTGTGTTTCAATAGCTTTAAGGGATCATACCGGAACAGCAGTACTTCAGCAATCAAACCATAAGTTACCAGTTGGAGTTGATGCCATTGCGATAGTAATCACACAGAATGTGTAGAAAAAACAGGCCAGCTGACTACATTGAAAACAGACATCATTAAGAAGTAAAGAGATTACTCACGCACATACAGTTTAGAAGATAAATGGTCTTGAAGATCTCTAAAAGCGCACTGGGCTTAAGTTTGTTTCGGTGACTCTCCCTATAGAGTCTCCATGTTTATCTTTGGTGCATTTTTAGACCAGATATAGGATAGGTCGCGCCAAACTGGACTGTTTGTATGAGAAAATATACTTATATTGCTTGATTACATGCAAATATGTGCGTAAATATGGTAGGTAGCTAACATGAAGAGTGGATCGTGATTGACCTATAGCGTCTAGATAGAACCCTTTGCCAAGTCTCAGGCAACAGTGGTCGCTGACGAAGCCAGTTCTTGTACTGCATGCGTACATTCATACCCGAGAGAATAAGTGAAACAGTGGTGGTTGCTGCCTTCTTGTGATTGTGAGGCAAGTTCGAATGGTGTCCAATTGGCTTATTGCATTACCCGAGGTTGTTCCGTGTATTGAAGCCTGTGGGAGCCTGCCTCGCTGGCTCACGCTGTCTGCCTTTGTTCGCCGCGAACTTGGCAACC